ACCTGCAACTCGAGCTGAGGTCGTAAAGCTCCGAGCACTCTAATCAGTATACGAGAGTCGCCTGCTTGACATGGAGCGCCAGTTGACTAACCTAAGGCTCCGTCCGAGAAGTGCCCGTCGCCAGTAGGAAATATTCTACTTGTCCTTCCTTTTGGAATAGTTTTCTTATTTATGTCTAAGTAGCTCCTTTCTCTGTAGACATTCTTGTATTGCAGGTACCGATTCACTAGTTCTTTATGTTGTCAAATTGTTCCTCTGTTGGTATGTGGTAGACCTACTCCTAGGTCAAAAAAAATTTCAAACTATGTGTAATCTTGATATCGACAATGGTGGCAACTATCATATTTCAGTTAAGGATTTTCATTGTCACAAGTGTACCTTAGATCGATAGCATGAAAAGTAAGCAACTCTATCAAGGTCCCATCACTGTTTTGTCCTCAAAATGTGAATCATAAGATGTACTTAGATGATTATTCCTTTTCCCCATCAACTTCGTATCAGTTTCGATATCCTAATCGGCAGGAAATGGTTAAGCCTCAAATCATGCTGATATCCTTTGCTTCGAGGAAGCGATTCGTCTCAATCTTCCCTTCAACGAAATCCTTATTGGTCTCAGTGATAAGATTTTTCGAACCTTCGTATCATTTCCTGCGTCAAACCTAGGAGCATCTACGGAAGGAATGCTATGCATTCCTGACTCATGTTGACGTTGAGACGCAAAAAGTTAAAGACCTCGAGAGCGTCTCCGAAGTCTACAACTTTCCTAATGTCTTCCCAAAGACATTCCAGGGAATCCTTCCGAGCGTCAAATTGGATCCCATATCGACTTGACTTCCGGAGCTACTCTTATAGCTAACCCTCTATAACGTCTGAGGCCGGAGAAAATGGGAGAGTTACTCAGCCAGTCCGATGAGCTGAGCAACCAGGAGTTCGTAAACTTATTGTATGTGAACTTTGTGTGCTCAAATCTTTTCTATCCTTGCTAAGACCACATCATGGGGATGTGGGTCGAATAAAAGAGAGTCAGTTAGCAAAACGGGAAATCTCAAATGCATAGATAAACATTTAGGATATATCCAGGGGCAACCATTGTTGCTCACAAATCTCTTTTCTTGACATGTAGCAGATCATGCCTCCAAATAAACGTAACCAACCCACCAGTAAGACACCAATTCTTCAGATGGATTCAGCTACTGTCACAGCAGCCGTAGCAGCCGCCCTAGCTGTCCTTAACGCTAACAACACCAATGCGGGTGGAAGTGTTAATGGCAGTCCAAACCCTGGTGTAAACCAACCTCGACAATAAGTGCCTACTGGAAAGGACACCCTTGATCCCCAACCTAACATCCTGAAGCAAAAGTTCGAAGGAAGCTGTTCAACCCAAGGACCTACTGAAAGGCAATGAATTGGGACATTCAATACCCCAGTCAGCCCTACTGTTCCAACCCCAACCATACCCTACTTGGGAAATCTCCCGCACTGCGGAAAATGCAACTTCCATCATTATGGAGTTTGTCGAGTGCTGAATTGCAACAGATGCAACAGGAAGGGGCACACCTCCAGCAGATGTAGGACCCTAGTCGAGTTCGTCACTCTAAATGCCAATATTGGGGCTAGTCCAACCTGTTACCTCTGTGGTAGTGTAGGACATTTCAAAAGAAATTGTCCAAGGGCTAAGGATGACAAGGAAGCTTGCTTCGCAAAGACCCCGACTCAACATATCCCTTCCACTACCGATGCTAGCATAGTTCAAGTGTGCAATGAATGTGGCGAAATGGGGCACTTCAAAAGAGATTGCCCAACAGAGAAGAACAATGAGGAAACAGGAGGAGTCTAACCTCAGGGAAAGAGGAAGCATCAAAGAAACCTGCAGTGTTTTGGGTACGTTTTCAAAACCTCAATAATTATTCATAATCGTGGTTTCTTTCCCGTCCAAATTTAATCACGACGTACTCTTAAAAGTTGATGCCCTAAGGGGCAAATTATGGTAGCCTAGTGTATACGTTAGAGTCAGTTGTAGCTATACATGACTCGTATACGCCAAGCAATCATAGGAAAATCTAGTAAGAACCATTCCATCGAGAGCCCATAGTTTCAAAACATCTGGACCCTCGCATTAGTAGTACCCACCAAGTCCAAATCAAACGCAGAAAATACCAGAGACGTTCATTTAGGGATACCAAAGTGCTAGCAAAACAATCCTCCCGGACTAACTTGACGCGCGATTCTACAACACCATTCTGTCTAGCTCGACTGAGTCTATGTTATACCAAACCTTTTAGTCTTAAGTCGTTCGATCGCGAAACTCCCGTCGCTCGTGACGACAACCAGATGCGAACTTCAAGGAATTCATCTCTCTTCGTAATCCGAAAGTATTCATACGAAGAGTATCATCCGTAAAGAGAAGGACAATTGAAGATGTGTCATGGGACACACATCTATCCTTAATTGAACCTTCTTGCAACAACGGCGACCTTTCCAGTAGCAAGGCTACACCGTTCGAAGCCCTCTGCAGCCATAAGTACAGACCCCATTTGTGCTGGGCTGAGGCGGGCGACACGCAAATAGACAAGAGTCAAGTGCCCGACAACACTCTCACGAGTCCTGAAATTATCCGAGAGACGGCAGAAAAGATCGTACGAAAGGGGCTATGTTGATAATAGGCAAAAACCATTGGAGTCCCAGATTGGTGAACGTGTATTTCTTACAGGTTTCACCCTGGAAAAGCCTGGTACGCTTTGGAAAGCGTAGAAAGCTAAATCCAAGATACATTAGATCGTCCGAGATCCTTGCTAGGATCGGTCCCATAGCGCACAAACTCCAGTTACCTCGAGCGCTTAGCAACGCTCATCTCGTCTTCCTCGTTCTAAACCGAAATGAGTGTCCGTTCGATGAGACACCTACGATTTTCCCTCGAGTTAGACGAGAGTCTACGCTTCGTGTAGGAATCATTTGAACTCACGAATCGAGAAGTCAAGCGAGCGAAGTAGCGTCACATCCCGATAGTGAAGGTCCGCCCAAAACACCAAGAGGGAACTTGGATTCACTTAGGAGCACGAGAGTTCCATGAACCTTAAGTACCTCCATCTTTTCCAAGTCTATGAGTTATACCTTTATTCTTCAATTTCGGGACGAAGTTCCCTCTAACGGGGGGATGATGTGACAACCCGGAACTTCTATCTTGTACACTTAGTCTATTCAATCAATATTCAACTTGTTTTGTTGATTTCTGGTGCTATTTAAGGGTTCATTTAAGTGTTCTAAGCTTGGATTTGACCAAGGTTGAGATTAGGAATGAGTCAGCATGTCACATAGTGAGAAAACCGGGCCATACACACCTTTTGGAGGAGTGTACGGCCGTACACATGGGTGTGCGGCCGCACACCCACTCCCTTGGCAGCACACTCGCTCTTGACAGCACTCTCACCCCTATATAAAGGGTAGACCCCTTTCCTTTCATTCCTTTAACATCTTGGCAGCACACAACACCAATTCTCTCAAGTTTCTTCAACCACAAACCCTCCCAAGGCTTCAAAAATGTAAGTAATCTATCCCCTAGCTTGTTGTATTAGAAGGACCACTTCATCTAAGCCTTGATTCATCAAAGTTCACCATGTTTTTCATCATGTGAAGGAGTACGGCCGCACACCTTCAAAAGGGTGGCCGTACACTCCTAAATCATCCTCCAAAGTGAGAGTTTGATTTCCATATTCGAGATATACATGCCCCTAGCCTTGTGGTACCTTGGAAATGGCATTTTGGACATTTTTGTGTGGGGTGTACGACCGCACACACCTGTGTACGGCCGCACACACCCTTGTGCGGCAGCACACCCAAGTGTGCGACCACACACTCCTTCTAGGACCACAAACACACTTCTAGGACCCCTAACTTGCACTACAATTGAGTATAGGCCTAGGACACTTCATGGATTGCAAGTATGGACCTTGAAACACCCCAAGAACACCTTCCATCATGGGTGTACGGCCGCACACCCCTTGGGCCGCACACCCATGGCCGCACACACCTTAAAGGTGGCCATACACTCACCTAATGCAATCCTTTAAGGTCCTAACACTTGGTGCAAGTAGTCCCAAGCTCCTAGAGTGGTTCTCCATCACATGTAGTGGTGAAATACCTTCATTTGACTCCTTTATGCGTCATTGCATGTTAATTAGGATCAAAATCGTGTTCAAGGCTTCACTTGAACATCCCGCATTCCGTATAGATCCTTCATTCAAATCACCCGAGGTGAGTTCATACCCCTACGTTTTTCTGAGTTTTCATGTTTTCAGGGGGGAATACAAGCAAAAGTACAAGGAAACTTGTACTCAAAATATATTATTTTGTTTAAGATGGTTATACCTTCAGCATGCTTTTAATGCGGAAAAACAGTTTTACCAAACAATTAAGAAATCAACTCGAAGAAACAGTTTTCAAAATTAGAACATTGAACTTGTGAATCATATAGTAAAATGTATTATTTTATAGAGGATTCATGCAAATCATAAACAGGATTTTCAGTATTATTACTTGTAAATTTGTTAGTCTAAGTTGGAGACACGTCCTTGGTAACACTCCCACAGAATCAGAGTGTAGGACTAGCACTTATGACCAGAATCTCTTGGAGGGAGAGCGTGACTGTTGTGTATAGATCTATACGGGACTGACTATCCCGCACCTCGCTGCTAGCTACAGTGGGACCGGCAGGTCTACGGGTGACAAAGTCATAAAGGATATTGGCCCCCATACATGCCATATCAAGTTAATGTATGGTTATAAAACTCACAATCTAGATAGCAGAGATTTACTTTTGTAATAATGAATCAAGTGAACTAACCTCAAAGTAATAACCGATAGATAACTGGAGGGTATTACTAATAATACCTTCAGGACTTAGTTCATCACAGTTTTCTTTTATTTAGTTTTATTTATGTAATAAGGCTAATATACCTCTCTGGGTGTAACCAGGGTTTTTAAAAGAAAACTGCTTTTCGAGTATGGTAGATACTTGCACACCTCAGTTTAGAACGGATAATCAATCATCAACCTTTAGGGAAAATATAGGATTTTCCCGGGATAACCCGGCTATTCAAAACAGATTGTTTAACATGTAATCAATGGATATTCATATTCCTTCCACGACACCTTGGATTGTACATACCTTGTATGAATCTGGAAGTCATGGAAGGAATGGGTTTTCAAACACGCTTTTCATAAGAAAATATAGGATTTTCTTGAGGAACACTTTTCAAACGAATAAAAGAACATTTTCCATCAAAACTAAATGCTTATGAACTCACCAGCTTTATGCTGATATTCTTCAAAACTGCTTGTATTCTCAGGGAATTAGTAGACAGGTACTCCCAAGAGTTTTGCAGAAGTCGGAGTGTCAGAGTCACGTCTTTCTATTTAGCTTTTGTTATGAACAAAACTATGTATTAAACAATGTAAATCTTTTTCATATATGTATTCAATGTCTGGTTGTGTTTACTATGCTTGCTATGATACAATTGTTGTGATACTACGCATGACGTCCTCCACCCCCGAACGTTTCCGCCGTTCCGGTTTGGGGGTGTGACACATATCGCCTACCTGAAACTCCAAATCAGAACGCCTCCTATCGACGTAACTCTTCTGCCGACTTTGAGCAGTCTGGAGCGGGCTACGAACCTGTTGAATCAACTCCGTGGTCTTAAGCACCACCTCAAAGTCTTAGCCTTCCACATTGAGAGTTTGGAGCGGAATTTATCTTCAATCGGCTTACATGCTTTTTTCCTGTTCATATTTTCTCCAATTGGAACCCCGAGGTAGGTGAATGGAAGGGATGATGGGGCACAACCCAATGGGTCCGCCCAACTGCATACCTCCGAGTGTACTACACCAACACCGAATACCTTTGACTTGTTGAAGTTTACTTTCAATCCAGATACTACATGGAAACATCCAAATTGGAGATGTTTTTCTTTGACCAGTCTCTAATAAATAAAGCATCGTCTACATAAAACAAATGAGAAATAGAAATGTTAGAGTTGGGAATGAGAACTCCGTCAAACACCCCTTTTTCTGTAGTCGCCTTCATCATAACATTTAGGCCTTCTATTGCCAATCTAAAAAGGAAAGGCGATTTAAATATATACGTAGTAAATTAACTATAACCTCACCAAACTCTTATTAAAGAAGCTACTTAAGCAAAATCATTGCGTCAAACTCCTGAACAAAGGGTCAATTTGTTTAATTTAGTGGGGTTTTCTTTTTTTAAAATTTTTTTTTATGGGATAAAATGTTAATTTTCCCAAAAATCTGACACTTTTTATATGAAGAAAATCTAAAAAAAATCTAACTATAAATATAATATGAACCCTAGATCGTGAATGATAGTCACCAATCACCATCGACGAAACCGCTGGTGCTGCCGATTGTCTCTAATTTTTTGTTATCAGGTAAATCCCCCGATTTGTTTTGCATCTTGCTGTCTGCTCTTTGGTGCGTGTAAATCCTCAATCTGAATCGTAAACTAAACTACAGCAACAAAACTCGAAATTTCAAGATTGGTTTTTTATTTTTATTTTTATGAGTTTGGAAATCTGGTTATCTATCGATCCTTGTGTGGGCTACCAAGATAAATTCTCAAACTTTTTGTGGTTTTGAAAAGAGTTATAGCTATCTGGTAGGCGGAATTGACTAATGACTCCGGGCTTTAATTCGTGGTTCAGTCAACATCATTCCTATGGCCTGAACTAATATGTTTTACCGGTTTGGATTTACCTATATTTTGGATGGTGTTGGCTGGCTAAGAGTTTTTGTTGGATTGTTACCATATTTGAGTTGATGTGCAGCCAAACATGCATGATTTCAAGTTGTGTTTTGTAGGCTTTTGTTTCTAAACCTGTTTGTCACCGGAATCTGTTTGTCAGTAGTAGGTAAAGTATGGAGGAATATGCAAATCTGTTGTTTTTGGTTTGATTAGAAGTTGAATATCCAATTTTTTAGATATGGTTGTATAGCATTGTTGGTTTGGTGTTAAAGTGTGTAAATTTGACATTTGATGTGTTTATTATTGGTTTGAAGGGATGAGACGAGAAGTAGAAGATGTTGTGGAGTTGATGCAGAATATACAATCCCGGTTGACAGTAAAAGAAGCGGCGCGAACAAGCGTTTTGTCCAAGTCTTGGCTACATGCTTGGTCTACTTTCCCCAACCTCAGGTTCGATGTTGGAAGAGGAAAGAGCATGAAGTTGGTGGACGTGGAGCGAACTCTGATAAGGTATCACCGTGACAACACACCAATCAAAAGGTTTGATCTTAAGATCGAAATTGAAAATCAGGAGTCAGCTTCTCAAGCTGAAAAATGGATCGGGCGTGTGGCAACCAAAACTTGTCTCAAAGAGATTTCCCTCTCACTCTTCCTTTGGGGTGCCTCGTTTATGTTGCCAGATGAGATATTGGCAAGTGAGAATCTAACTAAGATAAGAGTTTCAGCACCGAGGATCCATTCAAATTCCGTTTGGATGACAGCGACAAATCCTGTGATCAAATGCATGTCATCCCTACGAGAACTGCACTTGGAAGGTGTGAGCATAAGTGAAGAGGCACTTCATCACATATTGTCGTCTTGTTGCTTGCTTGTGAAGATAGAGCTTTTACATTCCTGTGAGGGGTTCAAGACCATCAAGGTTAAAAACCTTCCTCGTCTTTACGAATTAAACATATCTTTCGCTAGTCTATATGAAAATTCTACTGCTTTGGAAATCAGTGATGTCCCAAAACTTGGTGTGTTTAGCTACTATCGACAGGGTGTTTTTCTTCAATCACATATTCCTCTTGTAATTGACCCATTCAACTCCCATTCAATATCAGTGCGCAAGGTGAGACGATTAATGTTAGGTAATGTGATAATTGACAACACGTGTCTGGACATGATCAAATTGGGATTTCCTTTTCTTGTGAGTTTGACACTTGGGTTGACATATTGGAAGTTGACGACCTTTCATTTCTCATCTTCTTCCATCAAGAAATTGGTCTTGTATTCGTTCCAACCCACCCTTGTCGACATACAAGTACATGCTCCAAAATTATTAATTTTCGACTTCAGTGGTGACACATTGCCTAGTCTCTTGTTTCCAGTCTCGTCTCTCAAACAACACATGGTTTCACTCAGACTTAAACATCCTGTTGATGCTTCTTTTTTTCTTAATATGAGGGAAGCACTTAGATTATCACGCAAGTGTGACCTTCATATACACTTAAGTCAGCCACCTGTTGACATGGACATCGATATCGATGATCTAAGAACAAGGCTCCTGCAACGAACGTGCAAGAACTAAGGTTTCAAACGACTGAGGATGAATGCATGTGGGAACGATCCCTGTTTTTTGATGCATTCTTTGAGATTTGCCATCCCAAGTGCGTATACGCAAAGCCAGACGTTCGCTTCAAACACAACAATCACTTTTGCAGACTCATGTTGAGGGAGGTCTTGGAAAAGAAAACCACCACTACCGGAATCGTGTATTGGCCTCATTACCTAAAACATGTTCAAATAAAACAGGCTCTTCATCAAAAATGGGAAACCCTAACAAATTCCCATAGAAGCTTTCTAGACGGGTCCACTCCTGATGTCTACATGTACTTCAATCTCAAGGTGAACGTTGGCGGGTGACAGAAGTGAACGGTAGTGGTGCAGGTGATGAACGGTGCTGGTAAAGGATCAACCACAAAAGAAATTGAAATCATAGGGACCATTCTTGTAAATTATAATAACGGGTTAACGGAGAATCTGTTAAAAACTAACGAAACTGACTTAATAGACATGTTAGTTGTAAGTTTAATGACCTATTGAGCAAAAAAATAATAATTTAGTGACCAAATCGGATAAATGACGATAGTTTATTGGGTTATAGTGACATTTACTCTTATCTAAATTAATTTCTTATCGGTTGTTATTAAAAAAATCATATTTTTAAATGTTTATGATACACATAAAATAGTAAAATTCATTGATTTAATAACAAAAATGAATAATCAAATTGAATTCATCGATATCGATTTACCTTAGGTTGTCAATTTACAAACCAATAAAATAAAAGATTGTTATCTTTGAAACTCATTAAAGCTAAAACATTCGGTTTTAGATGTATATTAATTGGCTACGTATTGTCATTTCAGAGATTCTAGACATAAGATGTTGGCTAAAATCTTAGTAATTTGAAGATTTTCATAATATTATACATAACATAGTTACACTTTTTTTTGTAACCTTTAAATAAATTAAATAGTTCATTGTCATAAGTTAGTTGCACCAAATAGTAGTATTTACTAATACCACAAGAAAATTTTGATAATTTTGAAATCACATTAGTTCTAATGGCACCTACAAGTACGAATTTTAAAGATTTTGACGGAAAAAACACTAAGATTTTGTGACCATCTTTCCCTTATTTAACGGGATGTTATTGTATTTATTCCTATTGAGGCTAATGAAAAACTTAATCAATTCTCAAAACATATTTTGGTATCAGAGCGGGACTAAAAGATCCCCTCATTACCTATTCACAAATGATAGGAAAAGATGGATCCGATAGTTCAGATGCTGTGGAGAAGACGCAAGGAATTGATCCCAGCTCGGTCTATTATCTACACGCATTTGAATACCCTCGGCAACTACATGTAAACGAGATTCTCACATATTCGAATTATGGAGATTAGGCACAAGAGATGGAGAATTTTCTCTTTACAAAAAATAAAATGAGGTTCGTTGATGGAACTGTCAACATACCAAAAGAAGGAATTGAAATTCAGGCTTAGAAGCGTTGTGATGCAATGATAAAAAGGTTGTCTTGCTACAACCATGGAGAAGAACATCAGGAATAACATCAAATATGCAAAAACCGCGAAGGAGATATGGGAAGACCTTGAAGCGCTTTGGGAAGGAAAGTGCACCTACGGCATACGAACTGAAACACAGGCTAACCCTAGTACGCCAAGAAAAGACTTCCGTTTCTACATACTACACAAAATTAAGATGATTGTGAGACAAGATACTCTCTGTGTCACCAATACCTAAGTGCACATGTGGAACGTGTACATGTGAGATCAGAAAGAGGTTGATTGAAGCGAAGGAAAAGTATAACGCCCGGGTTCCGGGGCTAAGCATTCTTGACAATGTAATAGTCTAGGTCAACTATTGTAACTCATTTTGAAGTAATAAAGATGAAATATTTGAGTATTATGTGAATTATGTGAATTTTTATGCTTATTATGTATTTATAAATGTTTAATAAATAAAAAATAAAAATAAGCGTCAAAATTAAAGTGTGAGATAAGCCCGATATCTCTACATAAAGTTGTAGTGGTCGAAACAAGGATTCCGGGGATATAAAGAACGCCGAAATCTGAGTTATAACGAAGAAGTTATGATCCGTCGAAGTTTCGCGACGGAACCGACACGATACCGGGAAACGTAAATAGTGAATTTACGATAGAGCGAGATTTAGCCTTAGCGATCTAAACGAAAGTCGTAGAATACGTTAAATCGAAAGTGTCCATAAAAAGAACACCCAAATCTGACTTCGTATGAGGAAGTTATGATTTTTCGAAGTTTCGGCTTAGCAGTGTACAACCCGAAATTTGAATAATAGATCGAGCGGTTTTTAGCCGACACGACCTAAACGAGAATCGAAGATCTCGTTAAGAGTAGCGTAACAAGAAAAAGATGGGCGAAAACGGACGTCGGATGAAGAAGTTATGAAAATTTAACGGACCAATCATGTCCCGGCTTGTTAAAAATATAACTTTTAAAATAAAGTCAAAACTAGCCGACGGAGTCTAAACGAAAGTTCTAGAGTACATTCCCACCTTCGCGTGGATATAAAGAATGTCGAAAACGGAGCTTGTACGCGAAAGTTACGAATTTTTAAAGTTTATGGTCGAATTTCTGAAGGCTAATAAGAACTTGGTGACGTGGCGCGTTGTGGGCCGTCCATCGCTGATCAGTGAACGCTTCGGATTCGGACACGCCTCCCTTCTCTACGCCCCGCGTACGAGATCCGGTACGCCCAGCGTACCTTCGGGTCTTATCCATCCGGTGTGCGAGACAGCTGGTCCGAGGTGGCGATCTTATCCGAGACTACGCCCAGCGTAGCTGCTGGACACGCAGCGTAGTCCGAGGCTACTGAGGCTATAAATAGCATGCGAGCCATTCCGAGTTTTTCAAACCTTTCTTCACTCTCTCTCTAAGATCTTTCTCTCTCTAAGGGTTTTAACCCTCCCCTAAGCCTAGGTGATCCCCTAGCACCCTAAGGAAGCCCCGAGGCTCCCGGAGACCCGAGAAAAAGGGTCTTTCGGTTTCGGAAATGCTGCTCCGAGCAAAGCCCGGTTTTCTTTAAAATCCGCTGTAAGTGAGCTACGCTTACGCAATTTTTAATATAGCTTTCAAATAATTATAGTAATGTTATTAGGTCCTTAAAATAATTATTTGAGCTATTATTATGAGTTATATTGAGTGTTATTTAACGCTTATATAATAATAATAATAGCTAGACTATTAATTAGTCGCGGTTGACATTATACTAAAACCCTAGTGGTATTGATACTAGGTTTTATCGAAGGAAAATTGTTTTGAGAGTATCGAAGCGCTGTCCGAGTGCTAAGTCACCACCTTTCAGGTGAGTGCATAGTTACTTTCATCTTACATATAAATATGAAGTATTTTATATATTACGTGTCTGTATACTTGCTATCTATGCTGGATGAATGTTTTTATACAAGTTTTAAATGATTTAAACTGTATATGTATTTTATATCTACAAAAATGTTGGGGTAAAACATGGGTAGATGTAATAAGACGATGTGTGATAAAATGATGAGAGGCCTCGATGTTGTTGTTGTTGATCTAGTCATCTAGCAGAGTATAGATGACGACCATGGACTCTTCTAAACAGTCCAGTGGAACGCTGGCAGGCTCGCAACCTGTAGGTGTTGTGAACGATGTGTTCACCGGTGTACTCCATCCCCCATATGGTTGCCTTTAGGACATTTATTGCTAAGGAACCCTCTTAACAGTAGTGTCCATCCCGATGATGATCCTTAGGATAGGTCCCTTATGATAGGTGTTTAGGGACGTAATGTGAGGATAACGGGAACGGGTAATCGGGTTATTGTTGGTTGATGAAATTAATAAACTTATTTATTGTGGGTTGAAAACCCTATGTGCTCACCAGGCTCCCAAGCCTAACCCACTCAGTTTTATATATTACAGGTAGTGGCGCTCGAGCATAGTTGTGATGTGTTGGGATGAGGGATTACGGATATAGGCCTGTAGATATGAAATAATGTAGTAAGGATTATATTGTATTGTTTATACTTATGTACAATATCGAACATGACATCCCGAGTCTTTTAATGAAATACATTTCTAAGGAAATGCTTTTGATAAATCTTTATCATATTATTGTTTTGGGACAAATTCCGCAATTCTTTTATTAAAAGGTTACTCTGATTTTGAAATAAAGTATAAACAAAACCGGTCTTTTCTGGCCGTGATTTTGGGGATGTCACAGTTGGTATCAGAGCATTAGTTTAAGCGAACTAGGAATTTGTAGGATTTCTAGACTTAAACTTAGAATGTTAAGCGATGATTGTGAGGTGTGAGCACTAGCTTATTTTAGGAATTGTGCCTAAAATGCTTTTATGTGCTAAATGCTTTGTGCCTGATATGCTGTTATTTGTTCGGATCTATGGTCTGTTGCCGACCGGATCTGGAAACCTTATGTGTTTAGGATTCTAAACGTACAACTACGATATTAGAACTAGCATGTAAACGTTTCAGAGTGATAAGGATGATTTGAACGTCTATCCTAAATAAAGATCTAAATTCACCTTATTTGGTGTATAGATCAAAATGACAAGAACCCGCAGTAGAGTTGGAAATGCGAATGGGAATAGGAATCAACCCCCAGTGATTCAGCAAATACCTGTTGTAGTAGGAGCTGCACCTGAGCCAGTCACCATGGCTGGAGTTCAAGCCATGATTCGGGCTATGCTAGCTGAACAAAGGGAAGAAATGAGACAAATGTTCCACGAAAATAGGGACGAACCTACCATACACGTTGAGCCGACCGAGCCAATTCCCGAGCAATCTGAGGAAGGGAACTACAGCCGCCAAGGGAGTCAAGTAGGGACTCAAGGTGAGCAAAGGGATGGCCCGGAGAGGAGAACCAACAAGGATGGGCGGATGTACAAGAATTTCTTGGGTGCAAAACCACCAAGTCTATCAGGAAGCCCAAAGCCTGTGGAGATAATGGATTGGATCTCCGAGATGGAGATGGTGTTTGAAAGCTGCGACTGCAGTGAGAAGCAGAAGACCGTCTTCGCTGTGAGACAACTGAAAACTGGAGTCTTGAGCTGGTGGAAACTATTGGCGGATACTATGCCGCGAGGAGAAGCTCTGAAAATGTCATGGGATGAGTTCCTGGAACAGCTGAAGATGCAATATTGTTCAGAGATAGATCTGATCGACCTGAACAATGAGTTCCAAAACTTGAGGAATGGAAGAATGAGCGTTGACGACTACGCTACTGCATTCACGGAGAAGATGAAGCTGTTTCCGTACCTAGTGCCAACCGAACTCTCCAAAATTGAGAGGTTCGCGAACAGATTGCC